TTTAATTATATTAATTATTTAAATTTATTAAATAATTAAACTTTAATTATAATTAAATAAATATTATAATTTTTAATTATATATATTAAATAATAATAATAATAATTAAAACTAAATATAAATTAAATTAACTATTATATAAAACTTTAATTATTATTTTAAATATTATAATTATATTTAAATAAAATATAAAAATTAAAATATTTATAAATTTAATAAAATAGATTTTATAATAAAACTTTATAATATAAATAAAAATTATTATAATTTAAAAATTAAAAAGTTTTAAAAAATTAATTTAATAAATTATAATATATTTATTTTAATTATGAATTTATATAAAATTAATATTTATATAATTTTTATTCAATTAAATATAATAATATTTTACTTTAAAATTTAAAATATATTGATTTTATTTTTTTAATTATTGATTTTAAATATTTTTATTAATTTTAAAATATTAAAATAATTTAATTAAATAATAAATATAATTGAAAATTAATATTATTAAAAAATTATTAAAGTTATTAAAGCAATTTTATTTAAATTTTATTATTAATACTTACAAATATAAGATGATTCACATTACTATTATATAAAAGTAGCATCAGGATATATTTGCAGCAAATGGGAAAAAGAAGTAAAAGGGTACAAAATCTAGTCATTGAATTCAATATGAGGGAGGCCCAAGTAAGGGAAGAAACAATTACTGGGCCTGCTACTTCACCTCTCATGTCTCCGTCAGCAGAGCCTAGACCACATGTGTGCAACAAGTGCAATAAACTTGAGCATATAAGAACAAAATAGTGTCATTTGATTTTAATTTATATAGATATTTCAGGTTAAAATCTGGTTTGTTGAAATATATTGATTTCGGTGATCTGCTCACCTGTGGATTATATCATTACATTGAGATATGACACAGTTAACTATTACTCCGTACTGAGTAAAGTTAAGCTTTTGCCGAATTAATCCGGCGAAACAAACAACCCCCCGCTAGTTAATTGTGGTCAGCGCAGGCCAAAAAAAAAAAAAAAAAAAAAAAAAAGGGAAAGTAAAAGAAAATTGTCAGTGGAAAATTTCTCTGTTTCCGCTAAGTTAGATCGCAGAAGAATCTGAATATTAACTAACTATTTACTATTATTACTTCATGCTCAGCCCGGATACCTTTTTTTTTTTTTTTTTTTTTATATATATATATACCCCCCTCATCTAAGGGAAAATATCCCATCTCAGACTCCAACAAGCCACAGCCAACCGAGAAGAAAAGAAAACGGAAAGGGAAAACGTGTTTTGCTTTGGCCCATATTGCGTGATTCGCTCCAGTGGAAGAAGTGGAATTCCAGTGCAACACCGCTAAAGGTGAGCGATCTTCGTTGTTATTTATTATTCAATATAGTTATATACACATTTTAATTTTGCCCTTGACTCACTTATCACGAAGGAAGGGGAAAATCCTTGAAAACGTTCATGCAGATATAATTCCCTCGCTTCGCCCCCTCGTTTCCTCTACAACTTACTATTCAATTCGCATTCTCAATCCCTTTTCGCACCATTGCTCAATCCCAGCTACACTTGTGTTTTGACGCCACTACCTGAACCCAGGGCTTAGGCCTTTGAACCCCGGGCTTCAGCTCCGGTTCAGCGCAAAATGAGTCTGCACTCTCAGTTGATTGCAAATGGAAACGACAATGTCCCCCTCCCCAATGGGATAACCACCTATCCCACGGAATGGGTGGTGCAGAAATTTGGCGGAACAAGTGTGGGAAAGTTTGCCGTGGAAATTGTGGACCGTGTGATCTAGTAAGTTACCCCCTCACAAACATACACAAACGCTCTCACACACACATACACACATACCCAGATCTGTCCCTCTGTGATAATTTTGGCAATTGAATTTCAAGTAACTTGCCTTTTTCCTTCCCACGTCTATAGTCCTAGCACCCTCACACATCGCGTTGCTGTCGTCTGCTCTGCGTGGAGCAGTTCTTCCAAAGCGGAGGGAACCACGAATCGGTGAGTCACATCCCCTATCAATATACCCCACGACATAACAACTTTGGCTATCCCACTTGAGTCACAATCACCTAGTATAATAACAAATATCTCTATTATACTATAGACTACTTCGCGCAGCTAGAGAAGCGGGAAAAAATGCAAAGTCTACCCAATATGTGTCCCTGGTCGATGCCGTCCGTGATGAACACATCCAGGTCGCTAGCGACCTCCTTCAAAATGCCGAACTCAAGAACCAGTTGATCCAGGAGATCGAAGAAGAATGCAGCCACATACTCAAAATCCTCGAAGCTGCCCAAACACTAGGGGAAATATCTATCAGATGCGTGGACAAGGTGATTAGCACCGGCGAGAAGCTCAGCTGTCGCATGATGGCCGCCCTGCTCCATGATCACGGTGTTGATTCTGAATACATCGATCTATCAGACATAGTCGATTTTTCAATAAACGTCCAATCGCTCGATCAAGCGTTCTACGACCGTCTTGCGGCCGCTCTAGGTGAAAATATAAAAGCATGTGGGAGAAAAGTTCCGGTGATCACGGGCTATTTCGGGCCGGTGCCAGGAGGCTTGCTGGAAAAAGTTGGCCGAGGCTACACAGATCTGTGCGCTGCCCTTGTGGCGGTGGGCATCAGTGCCCATGAGCTTCAGGTCTGGAAGGAGGTGGACGGGATTTTCACTGCTGATCCACGAAAAGTACCCACAGCTCGACTCCTGCCGGCGATCACTCCCGCAGAAGCTGCTGAATTGACATTCTACGGCTCTGAGGTGATCCATCCTTTCACCATGGAGCAGGTGATCAGAGCCAGAATCCCCATCCGGATTAAAAACGTTATGAAACCCCGGGGCAAGGGGACGGTGATTTACCCAGACTCGATTGCGGAGCTCGACGAGACGACCCCGGGCCACAATCCCAAACTCTTCCGCACCCGGAGCTCCAGTACACTATCCCAGCGCCAGGGGCCCAAGCGACCAACTGCAGTAACAACCAAACACAAAATTCTTGTTATAAACGTGCACTCGAACAAGCGGTCACTTTCCCAC